TCATGCTTTTGCTTTAATGTTAGTGTAGTATTTGAATGTGTATTATCATAAAATTTTTCTACAGCTAGTATTAATATATCGTATATATGATGGACTTCTAAAGTTAAGCGAAAATGTCCCCCATCGTATTTTTCTGTACATCTAAGATTAAATATAGTTTTATCTGGCATGAGCATTTTTAAAGTTTGGTAATGAGTTTGTTTAAAATCCCAAATTATAATTGCATGTTTAAAATTTCTGTAACTAAAGTGTTCTTTGATTGTAAATCTGTCAATTACTTTTTTATATTTATTGAAATTTATTTCTAATTGCGATGTAAGGATTTTTGATTCCTCAATAGGGATATTTTTTGTGATTAAATGTTTTAAGTGTTGAAGTTTAGCTGCTTGTAGTGGATTTATTTGTATAGATATTACAGTAGGTATTCCTGGTATAGTATTAATTTTAGTACCATACTGAGAAATTTCTTTTGTAGCTCCTGCAATGAGGATTTTGCCTAAATTATTTAAATTTACTAATGCTAAATCTATTATATAGAATTTGGCTTTAGGCATTTTAATTTAATTTTTGTGAGAAAAGAATAAAATATTATTTATTTGTTTATGTATTATTGAATATTAGGAAGTATATATCAGATTGATTATTTTAGTTATGAAATTGATAAATACGATAAAATATATTTGTATAATATAATATAATATAGTATAATATTATATAGTATAGAATGATATGAATATAAATTAATATACTCATGAAAAGATTAATAATATCTTACTATTATTCAATATTCTTGTATTTTGTAACTAATGATTTGTTTGTTGTATTGAATGTATTTATGTATGATTGTACCTATTTTAGAGATGAAATTTGCTTGTTATGTTATTTATTTATTTAAAAGTATGCATGTTTTAATTTTTTTAGACTGTTGTAGGCTTATTATTGAATAATAAACTTTGTGAGTGTAATATGGGATACATTCCGTTTGTGTTGCTAGTATTTGAATTAGTATATTGGACATAACTGTGTTTAGTATTATTGCCCGTACCTCGCGAATTTGTATATATGTCAGTTTTTAGTGCATGTGAAATATTTTGTTTGTGATTTTCGTGCATAAGATAATGTGTAAAACTTGAAAATATTCCTGCTATTAATTTTAGACTAAAGCCGAATGTTTGATATAAGATAGCTATGTTGAGTGTTGTATTAATAAATATTATTATGATTTTCCATAGAAAAATTATTCCTAAACAGCCGCTTATTATATTACCGAAACCAATAAACCAACCCCAAAGTTTTTCCATTTCTTTTTTGACTAGGTTACTAATGGTTTCTTGATCAATAAAAGATGATATTTTTAAACCCTGATTGTATACTGTATAACCCATTGATTGTCTAGCTAAATTATTTTGTGCGGCATATACTTCCTGTGGGAAGAGTAAATGTTTTTGGAATGAATTCATTAATTCTCTCGAATATAGTCCCGCATTCATTAAATGTTCTGGGCTTTTATATGTCCAAGTAAAGGCAGTTTCAGGTTTTAATAATTGTGGAGGGTTAATTTGTCTGAATTCAGGTGATAAGCTAAACCAAATACTTTCTATAAAAAATGATGAAGGTAATAAGTCGTTACAACCAATTTCTGTGCCATATTCTTGCAATATGTGTGTTTTAGGTGATAGATACATAGTTACATTGTTATGTGTGACTGGTAATTCATTAAAGCAATTTGTAGTTTTTGCTAATTGTACTTCCACTGGTTTACATTTTAATAAATATACTATTTCTCCTGCTTTAAGAGCTGTATACCCAGGTCCTTCACCCATAAGAAAAGCAAATTCAGATATGCTGTATGAGGCTATAGATAATTTTTGCATTAGTAATTTTCTTTCTAAATTACATTGTTTCATTACTAGATCTGCATACATTGAAACTACTGAAGTACTTAAGAAGTTTTCTATGTAAACAAATTTTGTATTAATATAAGCCATTAAATCTGTATTATATTGTGATATAGGTTTTGAATTAAAATTATTCATATATTGCATATCTGCTAAAATTAATAGACGAGGGTGTTCAGTCAAAACTACTTCAATATTGCAGGCAAAGCCTAGACCTGTTTGTTTGAGTGCAAAAGCTATTTTATCAGTTTGTACTATGTATGTACGAGTTTCTAAAGATTCATTATATATATTGGAGATTATTAGAGAAGAGGGACCAGAATAAATAACATCGAATTCGTAAATATTACAATCTGTTGAAGGTTTATTATAATCCCAAGCTGTTATTCCATATTTCATATCGATACCATGATAATTTGATAATTTCATGCGTGTACCAGTTGGTAATATTATTATATCGTCTTTATAATTAGCTATTGCAAATCCATCAGAAAGTAGAATTTTATATTTAACTTGTGCAACTACATTTTGATAATTATTTTTATCATTAGAAAATGATCCACCTTCACAGTAACCATTAATAGAAACAGATCCTGCAAGGGTGGTATGAAAATATTTTGTTTGGTTAATTTTTAAGCCTGTTATTATCTGATTGTTATTTAATTGATAATAAAGTTTTTGATGCAAGTCTTTGCATTGTAAAGGACTTAAGTCTATAACTTCTGTGTAAAATCCATTATCTACAATCTGAGCATCGTAAAGTAAACTACATTTTGTTATCATATAATCAGCTAGATATAACATGATTTGTAAGGGATTGAGTATGATTCTGCGCGCTGTAAAAGTTTTATGTTTGATAATCTAACTTGGTTAGCAGAAGCGTATTTATTATTATGGAAATTGTTAATTATTTTCACAAATGTATATTTTAAGTTTAGTGTTAAAAGGTTAAATTTAAAAAGAAACAACAGAAAAGAATACACACAAGTATGTTTGAAATTATATTTTGAATTGATTAACTTTACATTGTAATGAGAGAAGTGAACGAGAAAAATGAAAGATTGACTGACTGACTAAAGCAGTCTCCAGCTCTTATATAACATACCACGAAAAACATAAATAGGGATGAAACGTCTGATTGAGTCATGCTTTACAATCAAAACAAGACAGTTACTTTTTATCACCTTCCCTTATTTTATGCTTTTTGTGGTGCCTAGAAGACGCCGAGACAGACAATGACTCATGGCTACTTCGTAGTTGCCAAAAGTCAATACTATAAGTTTAATCGTGTTAGCATATTCTTTTCTGTGGTCTTAGAAATACAAGAGGCATCGATTCCATTAATATTCCAAAGGAGAATATTACTATAACTTATGTACAATATTATTTAAAAAAATTTTAGTTCTTACAATTTTGTGTGTGAATCTATTATTTCACGCGCTTAACTAAAAAATCAATGAAAAATGTACTGTTATTCAAAATTTATGAGTTTTCAAACTTTAGGCCTTTTGTGGCACGAGTTAATCTTTTCTGATTTACCTGAAACATTGCGTACCTCATTTTTATAAGTATTGAAACTAATTGAGATTGTATAATTTTTAAATATTACTATATTAATTTTAAGAACCACCCTAATATATATATAAACAAATTTTTATTTTTTATTATTAGATATAAACATTTAAAGATTCAATTTTTTTTAGTTAATATACATGTATAATAAAAAGGGATTACAAACAGATATCATGAACCCATAATTGTTTTGTAAATTTTAATTTTAAGGAATTTATATGTAACATTATAATCACAAGAAAGTAAGAATATACTGCTAAATACCTTAATTGTATAAATTATAATGGTATTAATATTTAATGTTTATTTAATGAATAGTGTAAATATAAAAGGGGACTTGACTATCTTCTCGGTGGTCAGTGTTCAATCAGTTATTGACAACACTTATCGAACTTAGACTTAGATCACGCAGTTCATCACATAGCCTTTATTATCAATGGTAGTTAGACACATTGCTGTGAGTTTATAAATACACTAACCGACAATACAGAAATCATATCTAATGATAGTCAAAATTGACAATAAACACCCGTGTCTGTGGCAGCGATGTCATAAAAAACTAAAAAGTGATAAATAAATATAGTTTAAAAGCGTGTTTTTTTAGATTTTATAAACTATATTTTTTAGAAAATATATTTTCAAGTATATATAGTTACTAGGCTCCGCCTAGCTGGGTATTCGCCTAAGACTCGGGACCTTACGAGCTTTACGCGACTTCGGCCTTACAGTCCGTCTTCATTAGTAGGCCCCTGATTTTGGTAGGAGTACCCAAAAATTATAACAAAAATATATTAAAAATTGTATTATTAAAATCAGGAAAATTCAAAAGAAAATATAGTAAAATGTGTAGGATGTTGACGTTTGCTAATAAAGTATTCCCCTTAGGCGTATTCAAAAATTAATTTGTTATATAATTATAACATATAACATTCCTTGATAAAATATATATATAAAATATGGTGTTGTCTATAAATGCAAAATAGTGTCCTAATAAAAATACATAATATACAAATTAATGTTCAAAATATATGTATGCGCAGAAATTAGTCAATCCCCATATTAAAACCATGCGCGTGGACTTGAAAAAAAAAACTCATAAAACGGTGAAAAATGAACGGATTGAATGGATTTTTTTATTATATATCAGAAATGTCATTAGGCGGATCTAGTAAAATTTCAAACCTTAAGCCGAAAACGCTGGCTTCAGCGAGCGTTTTTCTCAAAATCGGTCGAAATTTTAAAAAGCTCACGGGCGAGTTGCAAAAATTTGCCGACCTTCGCTAATAATTTTCCCGGAGTCTGATGACCGAATAATTTACTTAAAAAAAAAAATTTCAAATCAAGTAATTTTCCCAGAAAAGCGGTTTTCCGTTTCTATTTTATAAAAAGATAGTTTAATAGATATAATTACATATATGAAAATGACTCGTTTTTTTCTTAAGTAAATAGAAAATTTTAAATTAAATGTTGCTTCGTGATATACTTTTGCGACGTAAATCGTGTTAAAGTAAAAGTATACAACACCTGTTTTAAGACGACCACGTAAAGTTTTCATCTAAAAATAAAGTAACTGATATATATTCGTATATAGTACGTGGCATTTTTATTCAAAATACTTTCCAGTTAGTAATTAGACAATCATAATTTCAATTTAACCGTTTAAATTTTAAAACTTTCTTAAATAAAAAAAATTTTCAATAATTAAAAAATGGTAAGTATGTCCAATACAAGCAGACTTATATTTCAGGCTAAGCTATAAAAATTTGATTGCCATTAAAAATTAATTTTTTATAATTTTAACATTTGAAAAAATAATTTTCAGTGATGTAAAAAAATCTAACTTATGGCTACCAAAGTTTTAAAAAATTGCTAAAGTTTTTTTAACTATCAACTACTAGATACTATTGGCGTAATAAATATTATAACAGTCAAATTATATTACTTATGGTCTTCTATTAATGAAGATGATAATACTACAACACTAATGCATAAAAAATGTTTTAATTATTTTTTCAGATAACAGTTAACTCATTAATAGCAGCGACATTGGTATATTTCTTAATACAATTATTAGGTAATATGGAACACATTATTTTTTTATTCGCCATTATTAATTTGAAACAAAATGGATTATACTAAAGATTTTAGGTTTAGTGTAATTTTCAAATGACAAATATCTCTTCTCAAATTTTATGATTTAAAAATTTTTTCTTTGTACATGATCCAATTATCCAATATTTTTCTAGAAAAATAAAATTAGTAAATTTAAATTATTAAATAAATTACAATTATTATTTTTAATTTTTTTAGGAGTCTCTCCAGATTCTGGTAAGTAATTGATAAAAATAAAATTTTTATCTTATAATTGTCATCTTTTCACAATACTATCTTATTTATACATGTGTATTTTAGATTTATACTTAAAAAAGTTTCTGTTATTTAAAACTTTATAGTTCTTATGTTAGTCTCATACTATTTTAGACATCCTTCATATAGTAATTAATTTTGTTATTATACAGGAATTTCAGAATGGGTGGACAGTGATGGTATGTTCATTATTTTAACAAAGTTAAAAATATAATTTAAAATTTCTAAAAATGAGCAAGACATGAATAACGTTTTCATAATTTTTTTTTTTTGATATCGAAAAATATAAAAAACATTTCATATCAATTTAAATATATTATTGTTCTATATAATATTATTGATTACGTTAAACAATACTTATTAAAAAAAATATATTCTTTTTAATAATTATATTTTATAACGTTATGTAAAAAATAAGAGTGTTTGCCTTTTTAATTATCACAATAATAAGTTATGTTTTGAATAACTTTTAAATGTTAAACGTTAAAATGTAATAACTTAAAAATTTTTATAAGGTTTAAATGTGACAACACTTTCAACATTAATTATATAATGTTTAAATGATGTTGCCGCCTGGGCTGTTCTAAAAAAATCCAAAATAAAAATGGGGAATAGAACTCCGCAGTACGGCTTAACATAGGGGCAACTAATAATCAACAAAAAAAGTTTCTAATCAATTTAAATTTGACAAAAGAAAAATATTTTTTGTTAACACAAAATAAGCTTACCCAGCCCAACTACTATTATAACATGAAACTACAAAGTGAAAAATAAATATAGTTTAAAAGTGTGTTTTTTTAGTTTTTTTAAACTATAATTATTTTGAATAAAACGACCAAACAATACAGGCCCCTGATAAGGCGTCCTAACAGCTGATGGCACAAAAGCACTACCAGCTGACCACAACCAACCAGTGCAGCTCTCACGCCTGATGCGAACAAATGTTTAATAGTGTTAAATTCAATTAGAAGATTTTATACTGTATTTTAAACTGAAATACGTTTTAAAACCTGCCCTGCATATTAACGACCATTAGTTATACAAATTTGATACCCTACTTAACCAATAAGTTATTATTTAATAGTATAATATAATATAACTTAACCAAATATTGGCTATAATTGGTTAAGCTCATAACAAAGTAATTATAAATAATTATTATTTATAACTAGTTTATTCATACTTTCAGATGAAGTTTCGTGTCGTCGTAAGTAAAAATGGAATGCTATTGAAAGATATTTATTCAACTTAATTTTTATTTAATTATTATGTCATATTATATGTATAATTAATAAAGCTTTTAATTATTAAATTTGTGATATTAAATAGGTTATTTATTTCAACAAGGTAAGTTATTTCTTTATAATATCTATTTCTTTTCTTTTTTATTTAATTTGATGGTATTCTAAAATGATTGAACTACAAAATATGTATTTAAATGAATTTAAACACTGTTAACTGTTAATTTGAACTGAAAAAAAAATGGGAAATTATAATTATGTAATATGCATAATTAAATTAAGTAAATAAAAAAATAAGTACAACGCAATACTAAATAATTCATACAGAATGATTTTCCATCATTATCCACTTTATTAATTGAAAAATAAAAATAAAATTAATAATTTTTTTATTAGTTTCTCATTATTCTCAATTTATAAATCATGTTCTTATCATATTTATTGTTTATCCCTTATATATTTTAGCGTAAACAGGCCGTTGTTGGCTGTGTGACATTCGCTAGATTTTGTACCGTGGCGTATGGTACGCGGTATTAGTCCAGTCGAACTACACATAGTGTGCGATGGCTGATAAATGTGTCACAGGTCGCGGGACTCCGTTTAACACGAAGCGATATTGGACACAGTACCGCGTCGCTTATTATTATGTAGCGACCAAAACATACGCAACGAATATTCTCGAATGTTCTCGTTATCAAAAACCTTCGAGAAACTTCGATAACGCCATAAGATAACCTACGCGGGTATAGAATATTCTAGAATTAGCGAGAGCCTTATCGGAGCTATATATATATCGGAAGAATCAGTTAGTTAGTTAGTTCAGTTCAGACTGTCTAGTCCGCGATACACTACACGACCGCTACACCCCGCCGCTGTTGTCATCGTGTATTATGTTTACTTAGATTATTTTTATTTTTCCTTACTGTATATACATATATTTTCTTTTAGTGTTTTATACGTCTATTTTCGTGTTATAATTTTGTTTAAT